AAAGTAACAAATACACTTTTAATTGATCTCAGATAAAAATTACTTGGGAAAAGTCAGTAATCATTTTAGCCCCTAATCCGTTAGAGCCGTATCCTGAACAGCCTTGAGGAACTGGGTCACCTGGCTGTTTTCATTATTTCACATCATCCACAGTATTAGGAAAAACAAGGCATCGTATCAGGTTAGGTTAATGCATGGTTGGCAGCCAAATCCAGTCTCTTATATTCCATATTTTCTCTTTAGCTCTTCTGCTTTGTTGATGTAAGCTTTCATGGCATCTTCCTCGGTAGTCTCTTTCAGCTCATTCCAGGCATCCCACTTGGCCTTGCCTTTGAAGTCCAACATCCCAGGCCGTTCTGTATTTACATCGCCCACAGTCGCTTGTTTGTAGTGGCCGTAGATGAACAGCATCTCATCATCTGCTGGCTTGGTCTTGAGGTGCTTAACCTCCTCGGCAGCTTTCTCAAACTCAGCCTGGGACATCCCGGCAGGGCGGTACAAATCCCAGGCTCGCGGACGCGGTGAGGAGCAGGAAGTGGCCTGATTGAACATTTTAAAGAATTATATCCCGTACCTGATGTTGATGTGTCCATGTTATTATCACTTTATCATGGATAGAGAGCACAGCATTACCACAAGCATGAGGGAATATGTATCCTTAAGAGGGAGAAAAATGTTTTTAATTGCCTAAAGAATTTGGTCAGAAATTCAGTTGCAATACTAGAGTTCTGGACAGAAGATTTTGGCCTCTATAATGTATAGGTCAATAGCATATTTCCACTAAGCATTTTTTACAAATTAAAATTTTAATTTTTCATTAAGTAAAATTAATTGGAAGTAAAGCATGATGCTAGCACATACACCAGGGTATATAAAATATAAAATGTATATTCACCTTGCTAAAGTACAATATTTGAACTAATTTTTATTATATACAATAATTTAAAATAGTGCCTCAAAATTTTCAAACTTTCACTTGATATTTCAGAGCCCAGTTAAAAATATCCTAAGACACTATCATTATCAATTTAACATTCATTAATATCAGAGATCCTTATTTTGTTTATAACATTAGAGACTAAATGGGAAAAACGTAACTGTTGTGGTGGATGTAGTAGAAAACCTGGGCTTCATCCTTTTTAGGTGTTTGACCTTTGGCATGT